GCGGACTCGGGGCATGTCCGGCTAGTAAACAAGACCCCTCTGTCAGGCCCAGCGGTGCCCCAGCCTCCCTGGTGCCCCTCGAGGAATTGGAGAACCCGAAGTTCGTCGCCGAAGGCGGGTTCGGCTCCGTGTTCCGGGCGCGACATAGGAAGTGGGGCCATGATGTGGCGGTCAAGATCGTGAACTCGTGAGTGACCCCAGCTGCGGGCCGGCCGGAGTCTGACCGAGGAGGCCGAGCCGCTGTGCTCCGGGGCCTGAATGGGGAAGGGAGGGCTCTTCCAGGACCTGGGCGCGACTCTGGCTCTCTCCTGGAGCGTAGGGAGTCGATATCCAGAGAGGTGAAGGCCATGGCAAGTCTGCGTAGCCAGTACGTGCTGCTCCTGCTGGGGGTCACCGAGAACCTGGAATGGGAGTACGTGTCCGGGCCGGCTCTGGTGACTCAATTCATGGAAAATGGGTCCCTGGTGGGGCTGCTACAGCCCCAGTGCCCTCGGCCCTGGCCCCTCCTCTGCCGCCTATTGCAGGAAGTGGTGCTCGGGATGCGTTACCTGCACAGCCAGAACCCGGTGCTCCTGCATCGGGACCTCAAGCCTTCCAACGTCCTGCTGGACTCAGAGTTGCATGCCAAGGTCAGCCCATGCACACCCCAGCCCAGCCTCGGGCATAGCCCTGCCCCAGAGCTGCTCCAGCCCGGCCCACTGGACACAGAACTGCAGCCCTGTCTATTGAATACCCTCAACCTCTCCTTCTGGACACAGGGCTGCCCAGGGTTCATTGCCCAGCCAGAAGTTTTAGCCCCTGCCATACCAAGTGACAGAGGCCCTGACTAATCCAGATCAGTTCCACAGACCCAGCTCTCCAGACCCTCCAAATAGCCATGGCTGACATAGCCCAAGAGAATCAGACATTGACCCAGCCCCACCCAAAGGGGACTTAGATCTCACATCCAAGGGTCCCACTGCTTCTGTCTTTCCTCTGACCCTCCACACCCCCATTTACAAAGCAGGACCTGCACGTTGTGTGTGTATGGGGGGGTGGGATTCCAGAGGTTGCCTGGCCCCTTCAGTTGTCCCCTATCTCCTCCTTCTTCCCTTCCTTTGCAGCTGGCAGATTTTGGCCTGTCCACTTTTCAGGGAGGCTCACGGTCAGGGCTAGGGTCCAGAGAGCCAGGGGGTACTCTGGCCTACTTGGCCCCAGAACTATTTGCTGATGTAAACCGAAAGGCCTCCATGGCCAGTGATGTCTACAGGTAAGGTACCCAATGAAAACACACATCCCAAATTTCTACACCTCTCTGAGCCCTTCTAGGGGATGGCATACGGGAGAGGAGCCTTGCCAATGGTTGGGCCAGGCCTCAGCTTTGTGTCTCCTGCAGCTTTGGGATCCTAATGTGGGCAGTGCTAGCTGGAAGAGAAGTTGAGCGTAAGACTCTAGGCAGACTGTGTGATCCCTAACCCCAGATGCCCTTGTCCCAAAAGCCCCCAAGCCTTCCCCTTCCCCAGAGTGCCCTTCTCCCTGCTCACCTCCCCCTTGGATTATACTCCCTGCCCCTTTCCATGATGGAGCAGTGTCCCCTTAGACCCTGAATGCCTTCTCTCCTCACCCCTCACCCTCACCCCAGCAATGGCCCACACATCACTGGTGCGTAAAGCAGTGTGTGAGAAGATACGGCCCCCACTGACAGAGCTGCCTCAGTCCAGCCCTGAGACCCCTGGCTTGGAAGATCTGAAGGAGTTAATGCAGTGCTGCTGGAGCTGTGAGCCCAGGGACAGGCCCTCCTTCCAAGGTGAGCTGGTATTTAGCTGGCAGCTGGGGTAGGCTTGGATTTGTTAGCAGAGGGCTTTTCCCAGGGAAAGAGGTTCAGTTCATCTGTGACCCACTCTGCCGTCCCTCCAGAATGCCAACCAAAAACCGATGAAGTCTTCAATCTGACGAAGGGCAAGATAGATGCTGCTGTGTCCATGGTGAGCACTCAACAACATCCCACCACCCCAACCTGGCAGCTGGTCAGGGATGGCACAACATGACTCCCTGGCCATTCAGTGACTCCCCACTGACCACCATTCTTTATGCCTTGACCCTCATCCCTACCCTCTCCATCCCAGCCCTGAGTTCCCAGGCAACAGATGATGGACAAGGAGACTACTCCCACAGACCACTCTCTTGAGTTTATTCTAGCTCTCCCAACTCATGCCTAGCAAGCTCCTCCTGTCCCTGCAGGTGAAGAAGTTTCTGTCTGAGCACAGGAGCAGCAACAGGAGATTGTCTACCCCAGAGCCAGGCCAAGGAAGGACAGAAGTGGATGGCTTTGAGGGAACCACAGAAGCCAGTGTTTCCAGGATTTCTGAGAGATTGAACAACCTGAATCTGGAGGGATCCCTCAGCTCTGTTCCTGAAAAATGCACAAGCCATACTGAGAGGAGCAGGGCCCAGGAAGAGCAGGTTCACCCTGCCAGCACAGGAGGGACATCTTCAGATTCAATGGCCCGACCTCCCCAGACTCCAGAGAACTTGACTTTCAGAAACCAGATGCCCGGCCCCACCTTGACTGGGACTCCAGGTCTTGGACCCCAAGGGAGTCAGGTGAGATATTGGCAGGATTAGAGGATGCAGTAGGACTCCTGTGAATCCTGTCCCCTTGCCAGGGAAAACTTGGGGTTGCGGGGGTATGCTGTGAAGAACCAAGCTCAGGGGACAGGAGGCTTGAGAGCCCTGTGTTGTTTGCAGGAGGCCGAGAGATGTGGCACAATCTGGTCCTCCAGGGCCCCAGGGCCAAATCCAACAACAGGTATCCACTGTCCATCTCTTTCTTTCCCTTGTTCAATTCTTCCATCAGCTTCTTCCTCAAGACCTATATATAGATCCAGGGTACCTTGTTGGGGGAGGAGAGAAAGGGTTAGAGATGATTTAACCCAAGCTTCTCATTTCATAAATAAACTGACACCCACTGGGAGAGGATCCCACTGAGGTCACACAACAAAGCCTATATTTGTCCCTGTGTCTTCTAACTTTCCCTGGCACCAGCTCTGTGAACCCCCTAAATTCTGTTGTTACTATGGCAGCCCAGAGGGCCTCCAAGCAAGAAAAAAAGTAGGGTCTCAAATGTCAGTTTCCACCCCTCTTGAGCTTCTGCAAACCCAATTCTAGAGAGTCAGCCTATAGGGAAAGGCAAAGGACACCCCTGACAAGCCACTGGCTAGCGGAAACCCCATAATTGCATTTCCCCTGGGTGAACACGAGGTGTCGCTGCTTCTCTGCCCCCCGCTGTGCCTGCTAACTTTGCCTTTCTGACCACTAAACCCTCCCACCATCACAATTTCTCTTAAAGGGCCTCCATCTGTTATCTTACACAACTGCTCTGGGGTGCAAATTGGAAATAACAACTACTTGACTACGCAGCAGAGAACTGCCTGGCCCACGCAGAGGCTTTCACCTTCGGGCATGGGTAGGGGCTGGCAGAACCCCCCACCAGTAGGTTCAAAAGAAGGAAGGCAAGAACCTGAGGCCTGGAGTGGGCCCCAGGGCCAGTATAATCATAGTGGGAATTAAAGCACCTTCTAAGCTGCCTCCAGGGGTTGGGGCAAAGCACTACCCTTTTTGGCTCCTGACTTTCTTAGAGGGCAGTCCAGCCTGCACCCAAACTGACTGTGATCTGCCCCCCAGAAGTTAATAAACATGATGGAATGTTAACCAAAGTCCACCCAGGAGTCTGAGGCTCAGCCAAGGGCAAGGGACAGGGATGGGGGGCTGGGAGCTGACAGTGAAAGAGGGGGAGGCACTGCAACTCCGCCAAGGCAGGAAGCAGGGACACTGGGATCTGGGAGCGGGCAACAAGGTGGCACACAAGGTCAGGGCCCAGCCGGTGGCAGGAAGGAATCCTGGAGTGCTGGCTCCCCAGACCACTCTGATCTCAGGGTGGAGTTCTTCCTCTAGGGTCCAGGAGGGCCACCCCAACCTAGGCCTAAACTCTGGGGCTAGATGCTGTGGGGCCCTGGGAAGTGGGGAGATCTCCGTGGGAATTCACAAAGCTCAGCCCTTCTATTACCCTGTACGGTGCCCACTCTCTGAGGTCAACCCGCATACGATCCCTCCCTCCACCACACACTCACACATTGCTTCTTGGGTGTGGGAGCCCTTCTGATTCTCAGCTGGGGTCCGGGAGTGGAAAGTCATGGCTCCACAAAGCTACACATAGAAGTGTCACCTCCCAACGAGCTGGAGACAGCGGGGGCATGGACAGTTCAGACCGGCCACAGCAGCTGCCAGCCAGGTGGGGAGGCGAGGGGAGTGAGGCCCCCAGTTCTGACCTAGATCCCAATCTCTATCTGGCACTGGGACCCACACTCTTCCCTACCTTCTGGCCAGGTTTTAGCCCTCCCTCGGTCTCCAAACATTCCACCCCCATTTTGACACTTCCCATGCAGCCCACCCCCATGCCCTGGCGTTTCTTCCACAGTCCACATTCCCCTTCCTTGAGGGGGCTGACGTGGGGAGGCGATGGTGTTAGGAGAAACAATCCGAGTGGGGGAGGAGGTCAGGGGAGTTCGGCTCTGGCACGGGAAGGGGCCGGGCTGGCCCGTCGGGGAAGTGGGAGGGGGCCAGCGGCGCCGGGAGGGAAGCGCCTGTCCCCCGGGCTCCCTGCTGGGCCCAGCCCACTCAGCTGCGGCAGCGTCACAGGCAGTGAGTTCGGGGGGGAAAGGAGGAACCCGGGGCTCCTCCTCACCAACCTCAAGTCTTGTCCTTCTGGCGATAAGGCTTTTGCTTGGACACCTCCACAGTCTGGTTTAAGGGACGAGGGGGGAAGAATTGGCGAGTCCCCTCCCTACCAGCTGGGAGGCCGCACGGAGTGCCTGGAAGGAGCCTGGGTTGCCTCAAAATTGGGGGCACGGGGTGTAAGCGGCTTGGAGCAGAAAAAAAGGCCCTGTGTGGCTGGCCGGGCTGCAGGAGGTAACCCGGAGCCTGGCCCTCCCCAGCCCCGGGAGCTCGGGGTTGGGGAGACCATGGCCCGCCTCTTCAGCCCCCGGCCGCCCCCCAGCGAAGACCTCTTCTACGAGACCTACTACAGCCTGAGCCAGCAGTACCCGCTGCTGCTACTGCTGCTGGTGATCGTGCTCTGCGCGCTCCTGGCGCTGCTTGCCGTCGCCTGGGCCAGTGGCAGGGTGAG